CGGAATTATACCAAAAAGCCAAAATTTGTTGTTTTAAATGCCTAAAAATTGTTCAATTTTGCAGAAAAAAAACAACATAGTTTACAAATTCAAGTGTTTTTGGGAGATTGTATCTCAATGGATTAAATAATATTTATGTTGATTACACCACAAACTCGCTTTCACGACGCTTGACTCTACATTTGAATGATAGCTCTAACATTTTTAGGCATTTAAAACAACATGCCTGGCCGCGTACACAATTTCGGAAAATCCTTGTTGAAAACACAACTATACTTAAACATGAAAACAATAGACAAAAACTGAAAATTCTTGAAGCTATATACATAAAACAGTTGAAACCTAACCTGAACAAAATAAACTATGAAATCTCCACAAATATTCTTAAATGCCCTATAATTGATAACAGAAGCCATTGGTTTATACCAACGGCTTCCCATACTTACTTCTTCTCGTTTTCACTCTCGCGTGGTCATGTGTGACGTCACGAGCTGCGATGCGATTTTTTTCCGCGTCTCGTATACACGAGTTTGTCGTTGCTTTGAAATTTTTCATGCAACAAAAAAGAGACTATCATTATTGTTTCGTCCGTGTATTGTTTGATATATTGAAATGTAATTGTCATCTTTGATAATGGCTTATGTAAGCCGAAAGCTTAGATTGGATTAAAAAACATGTATCAATATGGTGATTTCCTTTTCGTCTTTCAATGATAATGTTATTAAGCTTATCAGACAATATGAAAGGAATGGAACTTAAAATAAATAGACAAAACTTGTCTATATTATTTAATGAAACATGCATCAATAAAAATATATATATATATATATATATATATATATATATATATATATATATATATATATATATATATATATATATATATATATATATAAATATTATTGTGTGTGTTTTAAATAAAAAATATATAGAAAATACAAAGAACTTGTTAGGTAATTTGATCCAATTTTCTTTTTTTATTTTTTTTCATTAAAAAAAAATAGTATAAAAAAAATATAGAGCATAAATATAATATTTATTTAAATATATTTATTCCAATGTTTTTACATAAGAGTTCTCATGTTTCAAAAAAGATTTAAAAATTCAATATAATTTTTTGAAAATATTGAATTAAAGTATTACAGGTCTATTCCATAATCATTCATTTGAAATTTTTTTTTGGAAAAAAATATTTTTGTCAAAAAAATTGTTTTAATAGCATATTCATTATTGATCTTAAAAATTTCTATGGTAAAGGCTAAAACGATATTTTAAATAAACAGAATGAAAAAATGTTGTTCAAAAATTATCATTATAAAGTTACATTCACAGATGTTAAATCAAATGTAAAAAATGGAATTTAAATCATATTAAAAACGGAAGATGATTTCATTTATAGTTTTTTTTATGTTAAATGAAATTTATTTATTTATTTTTTTTTTTTTTTTTTTCAGAAAGGTTTTTTATCTATATAAAAATATGCCGTAAATTTATTTTTTGAAATTTCATAAAAGGGTTATCTTTTTTTTACAAGGCATTTAAACTATTTATTTTTTAATTTATGGATTTTTAAATTTTATTTTATTGTTTGTTTTTAGACAAATAAAAAAAACAAAAAATATTTAATTTTTTTTAAAAATCCATAATTATAAATTCAATTTAAGAATAAGTTTAATCTTAAACATTTCATTTTAATTCAAAATTTATATTGAATTTTTCGGCTTTATTTTCTTAAACATAGATTTTCAATTGAATTTATTTGTATTTTTCATATTTTAATTTTATTATATATATATATATATATATATATATATATATATATATATTGTTAATATTTTTTTTGAAGGTTTTAAAAAAAAATTAATTTTATTTCAAACATATTTTGATCAAACAAGTGATTTTTTTGAATTGGGATTCTAAAAAGAAAACAACAATGAAAAACAAATCAAAAATTTTAAAAAAAACAAGATTTAATTCCATAATGATGGCCAATAGTTGAAAATTTTTAAATTCTGATCGCATTCAAAAAACCCTTTCAACACAGTCAAGTTGGATTTGGTTAAGAAAATTTAATCAAAAATAAAAATGCGCAAAATTCACGAAAACGATAACACGCGCTTTTTGTGAGATATATGAAATGGTCTAATATAAATGTTTAAGAAAAATTTTGTAAAACGGCATAAAAAAATATATTTGATTCTTTCATTGCAGATAGATTTTATTTAAAAAATTATATTGTTAATTAATCTTTTTTAAAAATTTGGTGATTTTTTTGCTGGCTAAATTTTTTTTTTTTTGATTTTCATTCGCAATTAGCCGAACTTATCAAAAAAAATTAGATCAAACTTTTCGGCGGCCCATGATGAAGAAAATTTTATATTATTGCTTTTTTACGTTTAAAACAAATATATATAAATATATATATATATATATATATATATATATAAAATTAATTTTAATTTTTATGGGTTTTTGCAAAAAAGCGTATAAAAAAATAATT